AGATCCTTGTTTCTATAAATTTCTGCCGTATTAGTTCTTATTTTTACTACAAGCTTTCGTCTGTTCCTACAGACATCTTCAGGTATGGAATAGATGTTGTTCTTGTTTTTTTTCTCTTAGTAATAAGAGGACAACGAAAATATATGTATTGTTGTATCCGAAAATGCTATTGAAAATGAGTTATTGTTTTTTCAGCGCGCAGTAGCAACGCTGAGTTTGATTTTAATTTTTTTTTTATTGTAAATTCATATAAAATATGGTGATAAACGAATTTTTTACTGGTAAATTTTTTGTCAAAGTGGCATGAACTATATTGTTCAATAATTACAGTAATGTCGCACTTATTATCCAAAAGTCGCAAATTGGATCAGTTATTTTAATTACGATAAACGTGCAATCAATTTACAATATATATATACAGCGTGTATCAAAAATATATTTACAAGCTTTGGGAGCCTGTTCCTCAGACCAAAAGGAAGATAAATGTCCATATAAACATATATCCGTAAATCCTTCGTTTTTTAGTTATTTAAATTTAAAATTTAATATATATACGCCGTTAAATCCATTTAATCGGTCTTCCTCTCTCCATTGTTTGTTGTAAAAACCGATCCTGTCTCAACAACACGACGATAAGCAAATAAAAAGGTTGGATGGCTCAGCTGCATTCGGTCTGGAAATCAAATTATGATACAGCCGTTTTCAATTTTTTCCATTACCATTCAGCGCAGCCGTATTTAAAAAAACATATCTGCCTGCTCACGATATGAATATCCTGCCATTGTTAAACGGAACACGTCTCAGTTAACTCACTACTACATATTAAACGTTGAAGATCGACTAAACGCAAATGTATACGAATGACAAATGTTCACCTTTGTTGACTACATGGAAACACAGCGCCATTTAAGTAAACTTTCTTTGTACGTAATTTAACACCATCAAACACGACGGAACATTATATTTGCCCTTGTTTATGTTCTTTTTTATTCAAATTTTGTAAAGTATTTTTTTATAAAAATATATATATATATATATATATATATATATATATATATATATAAATATCTAAAAATATATATAAATAAAAAAATAATAAAAATCTTAAAATGCAATTTCTGTATTAATCTATTTCTTTAAGTCAAATAAAGTTTTCGGTTTGCATATTTGAAAAATTTTCAGGACATTTTTAAAAAAAAAAATTAATTGAAAGAAATAAAAAATTCAATTTAAAATTTTTAATAACATAAATTTTAATCCAAATAATAACTGAAATTTTATATAAGATCAATGCGTTCCATTTAAATATGATCTACCGACGTTATATATATGTGAAAATATTAATTATAAATTTAAATGAAAATGTCCTGAAGATGGTCTTCCAAATAGACCGAAACGTCTGACGTTGAAAAAATATTAACATTAATAGAGCATAATTGCATTTTTTAAAACAGTCTTTTTTTTATGTATATTTTTTTCATAAAACCGGATCTATATCCATATATTTGCTTATATATATATATATATATATATATATATATATATATATATATATATATATTTAATACATGTTCTTGAAATGAATTCATGAATCTAACTGTACATTTATGCCTTTTATAATTTTTAATAGTCAAAAACAGCCCACACGCTCACACACAATCTACGTTACCTCCAGAACAATCTACGTTATCATACGAGATTATAATCGCAAAGTAGTGAATTAAAGAAAATCCGAACTGCCTTTTGATCTTTCTTTCAACTCTGATGGCTTGTAGATGCTAGAATCTCAAGAGCTAAATCTATAAGATAACAACCAATAAAAGGGCAAAGAAATTTTTTTGAAATATCCTTCGATAGCAATTTTATAAATATTGCAATCCTGATTTCAATTTGAAAGCAAAGGCATTAAATGCTGCTTAAGAAAGAGGCAATTTTCGCTAGAAACCACGAAAAGAATACTGAACTGATATGTAATATCAACTAGCCCCATTCAAAAAAATGTGATATTTTGACTGACAGACAATTTCCTAATACAAAAGACTTTGAAATAACAGAAGAAGTTGTTTTAAATATCAAATTTTTTGAAAAAATAACACGAGAAGAACTAGTAAAAAGAAAGAAAAATCTAAACCAAAAAAGGACACCTGTTCTTAAATTCCGAAAAAGACACGTAATGAGGAAAGATGGCTTGGAGAATTTGACACTCATCAGACATATACTGGGCAAGAGGGACAGACGGAAACATCAAGTAAGCTCGCTTGGTCCTCCTATATAGCAGTGAAAGCGGGACAATCTTCTCACAGATGATGAAGAGACTTGAGCATACAGAAATGAGGTTATACAAAACGATGCTGAGATTTCCATGGACTGAAAGAAGTTTTAATGAAAATGAAAAAAAAATAGGACGCTTGTACTTAAAATAAAAAGGAAATAGTTGAAATTTCGAGGATATATTATGAGGAAAGAGGGCTTGGAAAATTTAACACTCATATGACATATTGAAGGCAAGAGGGACAGAGAAGGCAGTAGGTCACCTATAGATGGCAGAATAGTGAGTGGGCAGGATAGTGAAAAAAATTTCAAACCTTTTTAGCCATTTTTATAAAATTTGAAGAGCCATAATCAGTTACAATCTGAATGAAAAGGATATAGACTCAGGATGTTGTGATATTAAATTAAAGTATAATAAAATATAAAGAAAAAAGATTTATTCTTTAGAACTCAATGCCCAATGAAAGCAAATCTCCTTCAAAATCAATTTTGTTGTTGTTTTGACTCTTTTACGTCTTCGTAAATATCTTGGAACAACCGGTACTTCTCATAAAAAAGAAAGTAGTACATCGTGTCACCAGTGAAGGGGAGATAACTTTAGTACAGTAAAAGGTTACAGATATTATTTAGAAAATAAGCAGCAATCTTAGACCTTCATTGCTTGCAAAAAAACGCAGTGTCAAAAGGACTATTTTTCCCTTGACACCGCTATTATTTTAACTACCTTCACTCCTCGAGAATGTTTATTGTTTTAAAAAGCGATTATTAGAACTAATAAATAAAACCTAAATTCATAGACTTTTTGTTCTTAAGAATTTACCATGAAAATATTAATCGCGATTTATTTATTAGATTGTTTATAATTTTATATTTACAGCATTCTAAAAAGTAATACAATTTTATTAAAACTAATGCAATACAATATTTATCATTTACCAATTTATAAAGAAATAAATATGAAATTTTTTTTTTTTTAGCATTCCACCCCAAGCAAGGCGAGAAGCCACTGTCACGCAAGGGGTTACAGAGTATTTGGAGCGAGAGCATGTAGGACTGATGGAGGAAAGGATGAGGAGAAGGATAGTGGATAGATCTTGGCAACTGGAGATGTCGATTGACATTACTTTTAAATAGTTGGAGATTAAAGCTATCAGGGAAACAGGAGTAGAGATGGGAGTTCCACAGGCGAGAGGTGCGAGATATGAAGCTATTGGAGTAGAAGAGGCGGCTTCATTTAGGAGTTTCGACAGTGAAAGTGGTGAGAGCGGGATGTCAGCCTCGTAGGGCGCTTGAACTCACGAAGTCTGGGAACCAGCGAATGCAGCTCCTCGGAGCAATTGCCATGAAAGTATTTGTAAAAAAGACAGAGAGAGGCGACGGCACGTCTGTGAGAGAGCAACTGTAGACGAGATGCCAGAACAGGGCCAATTATATTGCATATCCATCTCTGGATTTTATCAAGAACCCCGAGGCAAACAGAAGGGGCCCCAGACCATATATGGCAGCAATACTCCATGCAAGGGCGAATGGTTGATTTGTAATTTGAAGCATCGATTCCGGGGAGAAAAATTTCCTGGCACGGCACAATGAGCCAAATTAAAACATGTGAATCAACTATAAGGAAATCCTTATTATTTACCGTTTTATAAAATTTGAATCAATTGGCAATTTTCCGATGATTCGCCAACCATTACAATAAACACTCTAATAAATAAATAATGTTTATTATTTTTGTTATCAAGTCTCACGAACAAAGAAAATGTATAAATTCACTTTCATATGCTAAGGTTTTATTACAATTCTAATAATCGCGTTTTAAAACAAGAAACATTGCCTCGGAGCGAGAGTAGTCAAAATAATAGCGGCGTCAACGGAAAAGCCGTTAGATGTTTTCGGATACGGATGTCCAAGTTTGCCACATAATTTTCAAATACATTTATCGTATTATGGATATGCGAATGCAAAAAGGACATTTATACTTAGAATCAGGAAGAAACAGTTGAAATTTCTTGAACGCATAATGAGGAAAGGGGGCTTTGAAAATCTGACACTCACAGGACATATTGAAGGCAAAAGGGACAGAAAAAAAAAAACATCGAGTCACGTACCTAATTCGATTGAAGAGAAGCGACTGGTACGGGCAGTAAAATATATATTTATTGTTAAAAGCTACAAAGCAGAGAAAGTTGTGGAGAGCCATGATTATACACATCCTGAAGGGCTATGGCACACAAAAGAAGAAGAAAAAATATAGAGCTGATGATTGGCAACGGTTGTTTAATGAGGAACCTATCATAAAATTGTTGAACAGTCGAAGCGAAAGTTCCGTTGAAATGGTAAAATGATTCCATTACAAACGAGTTCTACGTTTTGCACACGACAGAAGGCAAAATTGATGCGTTACACCATGGAAATTAATATGAAAATAATGACCAATAAGATAAGAGGAATATTTAGCAATGGATCTTGATATATATATATATATATATATATATTGCTTTGTTTAACAGTGATACACTCATCGGCTTCTTGCTAATTGTTCGTTTTAGTGGGTTTTTTTTCTATTCTCATTTTGTTTTTTTTTGTTTTTTTATTTTCTATCCCCACCTCTATCCTGATTTAAATTCCTTACTTTCGTTTTTCCCCTCCTTTTGTCTTGCTTTTCATTCTTTATTTCTTTCTTTCTTTCTTTCTTTCTTTCTTTCTTTCTTTCTGCTTTGACGATATTTATGTCTTCCTTTTCTTTTTCATCTCTCTTTGTGTTTCGTTCCTTACTTTGCTTTTTCGTTTCTTTTCTTTTTGTTCTTTCCTTCCTTGCATCCTCCTGTCAACAACTCCCATTTTCTTTCACCCACCTTCCTCCGTACCCGCCTTTCTTTCTTTCTTTCTTTCTTTCTTTCTTTCTTTCTTTCTTTCTTTCTTTCTTTCTTTCTTTGTCTTCCTACTTTCTCTTCCCTTCTTTCCTCCTTTCTTTCTCATTTTCCATTCGTGTTTATCACTTCCTCCCTTATTTGTATCAATTTTATTTTTTCCCTCCCTCCGTTCATTTTATTCTCTCTCTCTTCTTCCTTCCTCCATCAGTTCTACTCGCTTTCTTCCTTCTTCCTATTTCCTTCTTTCTTTCCATCCCTCTTTTCTTCTACATTTTCTTTTTTGTTTCTTTTCTTTACATCCATAAATCTTTCTTCTTTTCTTTCAAACTTCTTCCTCTTTCCTTCCTCCTCTTCATCCATTTTACTTCTTGTTCCTTCCTTCCTTCCGTTTTGTCACTTCCTTCCTTGCACTCTTCTGTCAACAACTTTCATTTCTTTCTTCCTTTCTTTCTTGCCTTTCTTTCTTCCTTCTCTTCATCTATTCTACTCTCTTCTTTCTTTCTTTCTTTCTTTTTTCTTTCTTTCTTTTCTTTGTGTCGTTTCATTCTTCGTAGGCTTCTTTCAACAACTTTCATTTTCTTTCTACCTCCTTGCCCCTCTTTCTTCCTTCCCTCCATCTATTTTATTCTCTCTCTCCCCCTCTCTCTCCGTCTTCCGTTCCTTTCTTCCTTCCCCCATTCATTTTACTCTCTATCCTCCTCTTTTGTCTGTGCTTTCCTTTTTTCCTCCCATTCATTTATTTCACTCTCTCTTCCTCTTTTCTCCTTGTCTTCCTTTCTTCCTTCTCCTCTATTCGTTTTACTCTTTCTTCCTTTTCTTTCTTCCTTCCTTCCCACAATTCATTTTATTCTCTCTTACTCCTTATATTTCTTTCTCTCTTTCTTTTGATTTTCTCTTCTTCCTTCCCACCAACAATTTTACTCTTTCTCCCTCTTTCCTCCTTGCCTTTCTTTCTCCCTTCCCTCCATCAGTTCTACTCGCTTTCTTCCTTCTTCCTATTTCCTTCCTTCTTTCCATTCTTTTTTTCTACACATTTTTCTTTTCTTTTTATTCATAAATCTTTCTTCCTTTCTTTCATCTATCTTCCTTTTTCCTTCCGCCTCTTCATTCATTTTACTCCCCGTCTTCATCTTACTTTCTTTCTTTTTCTTTCTTTCTTTCTTTCTTTCTTTCTTTCTTTCCCCTTCCTTTTCTTTGTGTTGATCGATTCCTTGCATGCTTCTTTCAACAACTTTCATTTTCTTTTTTCCTCCTTGGCTTTCTTTCTTCCTTCTCTCCATCCATTTTACACCCTTCCTTCCTTCTGTCCTTCCTTCCTTTCCTTTCCTATTCTTTTTAGTCTCTTTTCTTTTCATCCATAAATCTTTCTTTCTTTCTTTTCCTCAATCCCTGGCCTTCCCATCTAGGACTCCATTATCAACTACAAACCGATAAAATTCATATCGCATATGTTCTTTCTATTCTTCCTTTTTCCTTCCGCCTCTTCATCCATTTTACTCCCTGTCTTCATCTTACTTTCTTTTGTTTGTTTGTTTCCTTCCTCCTTCCTTCCTTCCTTCCTTCCTTCCTTCCTTTTCTTTGTGTTGATCCATTCCTTGCATGCTTTTTTTCAACAACTTTCATTTTCTTTCTTCTTCCATCCACATTGCCATTTTTTCCTTCTTTCCACTCATTTTACTCTCTTCTTTCCTTTCTTCCTTCCTTCATTACCAATATCCTTCCTTCATTCCTTCCTTCATTCATTCCTTCATTCCTTCCTTCCTTCATTCCTTCCTTCATTCATTCCTTCCTTCCTTCTTTCCTTCCTTCCTTCCTTCATTGATTCCTTCCTTCATTCCTTCGTTCATTCATTTCATTCCTTCCTTCATTCCTTCCTTCATTTTCCTTCCTTCATTCCTTCGTTCATTCATTCCTTCATTCCTTCCTTCCTTCCTTCATTCCTTCATTCCTTCGTTCATTCATTCCTTCCTTCATTCCTTCCTTCATTCCTTCCTTCCTTCTTTCCTTCCTTCCTTCATTGATTCCTTCCTTCATTCCTTCATTCCTTCGTTCATTCATTCCTTCATTCCTTCCTTTATTCCTTCCTTCATTCCTTCCTTCCTTCTTTCCTTCCTTCCTTCCTTCCTTCATTGATTCCTTCCTTCATTCCTTCATTCATTCATTCCTTCCTTCCTTCTTCCCTTCCTTTCCTTTCCTATTCTTTTTAGTCTCTTTTCTTTTCATCCATAAATCTTTCTTTCTTTCTTTTCCTCAATCCCTGGCCTTCCCATTTAGGACTCCATTATCAACTACAAACCGATAAAATTCATATCGCATATGTTCTTTCTATTTATTTTTTTTTATACTGTTTTACCTTTTTTTTTACCTTTTTCTCTTCTTTTTTTTTTTTAGGGGGTTCTCTGTTTTAAACAATTTCAGTGAGTTGAGGGTGCCTTTGCAGAGGAGGATTTCTGTAATGGCTTCCCAACGAAGAAATCGAATTTCCGTGGTCCGATTCGTAGATTAGAAGTAAACATTTTTCCCTCATGGGAGAAATTAAGCCCGGTTAGGCTGTTATTGGCTTTTCTGATACGAACAGAAAACGCATCGGAATATTTACGAATAAGTAATCGATCCGAAAAACTATCGATTTATATTAGTCTTATCATGTGTCTCGTAAATGAAGTGGGATGCAGACACAATAATTGTTGAATAATTAGTGGTGTGGGGGTATAAGTGTTATCTACGTTTCACTCTGTTAGTATATAATCAAAACACAAGAGCATAATTATTGTCGGGCACAAAACCGCTATTTTAGAGCGCCTGGCGATGATCCAACACTTTTATAGCAACCGGTGCTTCTGCTATAGATTTGGATATTCTTGATCAAATCCAAAGACGAATCAGCAATATTATTCGTCCTGACCTGGCGTCTCGGCTTCAGTCGCTTTCTCACCGCCGTAATGTTGCTTCCCTGTGTCTTTTCTATAAATACTTTCATGGTAATTGTTCAGATGAGCTTTTCGATATGGTGTTTCTGCCACATTTAATGATTGTGGGGGGGTATAACTAACATTATTTTATTTGGTTCCTTGTAAATAGTTTTGTTTTTATATTGTAAATACACATCGGGGCCAGTTTTTACATTGTTGTTTTATTCCCCTTCCGTCACAGACAATGAATTGTACATATGGGGACTAGTTAGGATTTTCATAGAGACAATGCGGTATTATGGTGAATGTAGTAAGAAAAGTAAGTAAGAAAGCGTTGTTTTGGTGTTAGGAATATTGTGATATGTCTGGGTGAGTGTTTGTGGCTAGCTAAGTATAATGTTAAGACAGATGAAGACTGCCCTTTTCTCCATTTCCCATTTTCGCCTTGTGCCACATTTTATAAATAATAATAATAAATATCGCCCTTCTCTATTGTTATTTATCCCCCCATCGACATAAATTGTACATATGGGGACTAGTTAGAATTTTCATAGATACAAGAAGGTATTATAGTCAATGTATTAGGTTGGTGCAAAAATAATGACGTAATAATGTCGTTTTTTGACGTTAAAAAATACGTCAAAAACCGACATTATTACGTCATTATTTTTTCAAACAACCAATAGTAAAAAGGTTTAAGTAAGAATGTGTTGTTTTGGTGTTAGGAATAGTGTGCTATGTTTGCGTCAGTGTTTGTGGCTAGCTATGTTTAAAGTTAAAACAGATGAAGACCGCCCTTTTCCCCATTTCCCATTTTGGCCTTGTGCCACATTTTGTAAATGTTTACAAATGAATATAGCTCTTTGATATGGTAGCTAAACTTTAAGAATTTAAGCTCAGTATTAGATTGGCAACTAGCTGTCATCAATTTAGACTTGAATTCGCAAGATTTAACCGTAGGTTCTACTCTGACAGTTTCTTCTATCGCACTTCTCTCTTGTAGAACACTCTTCCGCCTTCTTGATTTCCAGTCACATTTGATCTTCAAAAATGTAAATGCAATGTCAATCATTATCTACTCTATTTCTGATTACTCTTCTATTGTTCTTGCTCCTCAACGATGCAACTGTTTTTTTTAATTCTTTCACACCCAGTAACCCCTCGTGTCTTAGTGGCTTTACTGCCTTGCTTGGGGTGATTTCGATTAAAAATAAAAATTTGCAAACACTTCTACTTCTTTGTATATATTCCTGTTTGTAATATATCTGTGTTATTCCATACCTGTGTTCGAGTTCTTCTTTATTGGTTCTACCTTGGACTATCACCGTGGTACAAGGAACCGGACCATCACAGTATATTTATATGGAATTACAATTCTAATAGTGATTTTCGTGCTAAATAATTCTTCAGAATAAATATGTTTGAATAAAAATCGCGGATAAACAATGTCCGCGTCAGCAAATATGGCGAGCGAAGTTAATTTAAGGTCAGGGAAGACCAACCCCACCTTCCCAAAACTGAATTCCTGTTGTTGATTTGTTATCCATTATAAAATTTACGTGGTTCTTTTGTAGAAAATAATAAGGGAAAGACACCAGCGGCTAAAATACTGAACAGACAGCTGCGTGGGTCATTCTCTTACCACTAGAACCTTAACATTTTCAAAAAAAAGAATCACCCGATATCTTATCATTTTCACTTCTTAACAACTTCACTTTCATTCATATCACGCACCTCAATAATCATTGGCATTTTAACAGTGATCCTCTATATTGAGTGTCTCACGAGCATTTTATTGGGTCAATTTCAATATAAAAAATAAATAGATGCTTTTTCCACAAAATATATTACCTCACCGTTCTAAATATTTCAGTTGGTATACATGAATGTATACAGCAGTTATATATATATATATATATATATATATATATATATATATATATATATATATATATATATATATATATATATATATATATATATATATATATATATATATATATATATATATATATATATATAACGCAGTAAATTTCAAAATAAGTTATTCCAAAATTCGCTTGAAAATGAAACAGAACTACGGACTTTAATTTAATTCTATAATTAAATTTGAAGATTTTACTTCTGTTTTTGAAACATGGTAATTCTTGTGTAGCGAGGGAACCATATTTTTAAATAATTAATAATATATTATAATATTTACGCTCTGTAGATTTGCATTGAGCACAGTTTTGTAAAAATAAAAATATTAATAAGAACACAGGATTATATATCGTACTGTTCTTTCTCTTCATTATATATATATATATATATATATATATATATATATATATATATATATATATATTTTTTTCCCGAAACTAAAAATACTATACGAAAAATAGTACACTAATCAAAATAATAGACATTTAACAATATATGTTTGACATTATATATATATATATATATATATATATATATATATATATATATATATGTGTATGTGTGTGTGTGTGTGTGTGTGTGTGTGTGTGTGTGTACAAAGATGTAAGACAAACAGTTTTCTTGTAATATTTTTCGTTTCTTAGGACTTCATCGAACTTTGTTTACGTTGATGCGACTACACACATCACACGAAAACTTTTTCCGCTTTGTCATACATCTTACACCGAAAACCCTTCTAGATATATATAAAAAAAAAATACATACCTTGGGAAGAAGAGAAAATGATGAATATAAGGGTAAATAGCAGGACAGACTGGGTTCTATAGCCTTGGATGGCAACTGGTTTAGGAGAAAGACAACTCTGATTCCAAAAACCTGCGGAGGGTCGTTTGAGGACCTTGTGGCATGTATTGCACCAGGTCTCTGTATTCAGCCCTTCAAAAAATTTGGATGGTCCTGCACATGAAACTTTTGCCACTAAAATCAAATCAAAAAATGCTTATTTGTCTGGGTGTCAAACCGGAACAATGCTACTTTGGATGACCCTCATAAAAAAAAAAACGACAGGGTTTCCAGCATATATATATATATATATATATATATATATATATATATATATATATATATATATATGTATGTGTGTGTGTGTGTGTGTGTGTGTGTGTGTGTGTGTGTTAGAATAAAATATAAACATAACTAAATAAAAAAGTGATACAAATCTGTCAGATTAATAAAATTCATTCTAAAATAATATCTTTGATTACGTTTGTATGCAAAACTATGTGTAGATATAAAAAAAGTTCGTGAGATTCCATGATGTTTAAAATCAAAAAAAGAAGAATAAATAAACTTTCTTATTCTGACCGTCTGTTTTCTTTTTATGAAAAGCGGTAAATAAAATAAAAAATTAATTTTTTAGTTTAACATATAAAAATAAAAATGATAAAATATTTTCTTATTATTAAAAAAATAATTAATATTATTTTATTCATTTTTTATCCTGTTACATTGGTGAGAGTTTCAAATTGATAAATTTTATTCTTAAAAAATTTTTTGTAGATCTCAAGCTAATAATGACCTTCAGTTGGAAGTTTCACCACTCTAGAAGATAATGACATTATTAACAACAACAGCAACAATAACACTGACAATAAACTAGATAAAGCAGACATATAATGCCACCTACTAACTCCTTCACATCTACTACTCAAAATAATTTATCCAATTTAAAAATAATTACAACCACATTCAACACTATTATGGATATGATCAGAATCAAAAATATCTATAGCAATAATTCTGAAGCAAATAAACTGTCACGATTGCTCCGTTTACACTTTATTAAATATTTCTTAAATTTAAAAAAAAAATGTATCTATGGACACAAAAACTTTTTAAAGTGCACACTAACTTTATGGACACTCTACGTGTGTGTGTTTATATATATATATATATATATATATATATATATATATATGTGTGTGTGTGTGTGTGTGTGTGTGTGTGTGTGCGTTCATTGGTCGTAAGAGAAAAATGACCGCAAAAGACAAAATTATGGATAGATGGTAATTTTTGTTGGAAATTTCAAAAATTCCTTTACCGAATAATGGTATTGAATTTGAATATTAACCGTTTCCTTATAAAAAAAAATTTTATTTTATACCGAGCATACCAGTGTCGCTTTC